TTTTGACTACATTGGAAAGAGATAAAGAATAAGAGATTTCGGCTTTTTAGAATCCTTAACAAACCATATTTAGGTAGGTTTCGTTGAAAGAATTAAATATTTAGCCGATAATTGATAATAAATAAATTACTTAATTTAGTACCACAACAAACACTAAAAATCAAAATAACTCGGAAACGCACAGGAATTTCGAGACAGAAGAATGGACATTATTTTTGTTAAACTATATGTAGATAATGAAAATAACAGTTTTTTTTTAAAATAGTCATTGGCGTAGAAGTTCTGTTTAAGAAAGGGGTTGAGCACCCCCTCCACTCCGCCACTGTGCAAGTTTTTGAAAATTTTTATCGCTTGTTTTATGCCCCTTAATTAATAGGCATTATCTCCCAAACATGAAAAAAATCTAAGCATTCGTTTATAAGTTATAATGAATATGCGAGAAAAAAAAATTATATTCAACACCCCGTATCTCGGAAACGAAGCCTTCTACGACATATGTTGATAAGAACTTTTTCTTTTAAAAACATTTGTTCTATCTCCTGTTAAAGTTTGTCTACAAAAAACTGACTCACCCTGTATATACTTTATCTTTTATTATAAATACAAAAACAAATAAAACAAATAGTACAACAAAAAAAATACATTTAACATTTAAACATTTTAATAATGCTTCCAAACTGATTTCATTTTTTTTGTTTGTAAATTAAACTATTACATAGCTTCAGGTGCGAGTCTTGAATCTTAAAATTGGTGCAATTGATATTGCTATTGGTAGAAAATGATGAACGCACAATACACATTGCATTTAATGTGTCATCGCCTATACGATTCCTTTTCTTCGTTTTTATATCATTTATGACGGAAAATATACGCTCTGCATCCGCATTAGAATGAGGTAATGTTAAAATAATATGTGCCAATGCTCCTATATTTTTAAATTTATATGTTTCTGTAAAATCCCTGAAATTTGAAATTTTATCCCACATTTCGTCAAGGGAGAGGTTAGATAATTTTTTAATATCATTTTCATCAAAAGAATATGGTAAAGATCGCCATTCTAAGGCAATCGCTGAATAATCGAAATGTTCTTTATATCTTTCGGAAAGTAACGGAATGTCTTTCAATGTCATCCTGTTTCTTTCAAAGGCAACTTCGGGTTTCAGAAACTTCATTTCAGAGTATAAATTATTTAATAAAGGAAGTCGTACCAAAACCTCCTTAGCGAGAGTGATGTAGAACTCTAAAACATGTTTTCTAATATCGTTGGATACAGTTTCTGGCAGCGACTTCAGCATAGTTTCACACTCAGGCCCAGTATACACATTTTCCAATAGTAAGTAATTTTGAGGAATTAGTAAATTTGTAATACAACTGCCACTAAAACAGGTAGATAGTACATCACATTTTATAAAATTTTGGCATAACTCCAAAAATAATTTCATAGAAAGTTCTTGAAGGTCTTGTATCAACACTTTTTTAGATTGAAAAAGTGCATTAAATGTATTCATGTAATTTAAAACAAATTTTAAAAATAAAAAATAACTTCTGATACATTTGTCCTGTAATTGTCTCAGAATAGTCTCCGCTGCCAGAAGTTTATCCTCAAATACTGCCGCAGTAAAGAACACAATAAGTGCATCCCAATTTAATAAAATTCGACAAACACATTGATGCATAGATAACCATCTAGTGCTGGATAACTTCAATATTTTACGTTTCTCTTCGTGCAAAAATTCCTGAATTTCAGATAACTGATCGCATCGTTTTGAACTCCCAGAAATATATCCGTATATTTGTCGAATTAAGTCCTCGGGTCCTCTTGGCAACTGCTGGCATGCCTTACTTGCTACGATTGCAGCAGAGTGACAAATACACTTTAAAAGTAAGACATTGGGAACATCATCTCGTAAGTGAGAATAAAAAGAATTCATTTCACCGACCATGACATTTGCAGCATCTGATGCCATTCCTACAATATTTTTCAATGGAATTTCTTTGTCTTGTAGACATCTTTTAAAAGTGTTATATATATTTTTTGCAGAACCATTTCTTGCATTTATATGGCAAATTTCTAATAACTGTGTAACGATTTTTCTTGATTCATTTATGTAACGAACAATACACAACTGTTTGCTGGTACTGATATCTGTTGACTCATCACAAAGAATTGAAAATGTTTGCTAAAAGAAACAAATATAAGATAACTTTTAATTGACTTAGGTATTTTTAAAGTTCAGCTTACCTTTTGCAATATTTTAATTAAATCATTAATTTCCACTTTTGCTACAACATTAGTAATTAACCCAGTCCATTTCGTTCTTTTTAATTCTAGGTCTGTTACAATTTTGGAGTCAGTTACATTGCGCTCTATCAACTCCACTAAGTGGTCTACATTTTGCAACGCAATATTTTGTTCTGCAAAAAAAGTTGTAATTGCTAATTCCAAACAAAGAACATTGTTCCTATGTTCTATTGCCTTTTTACGTGCAGTCTCATTAACAGTAAAATCATTTAATTTTTTGTTCTGCTTAATTTTTGTAACATTTTTTAGATGACACTGGGATTCGGCATGTCTTTTTAATTGAGTTCTACCGCATGACATTATTTTGTTACAACATTCACATTTAAATTTCGTTTTGTCTGGGGTGGGTTTCAACCAACCTGAAAAATTTTTGTCTTGTAGCCATTTGTTACAAAATAGTTTTGGTTTTGTTTCATATATTTTTTTAGATGTGTGATTTCCATCATCACAGTCACTATCACTCGAATTCATTCTTTCTGAACTTTAATAACTTTGTTTTAACAATTAATTTCCTGAATTTTTTTTTTTTAACTTACTGCTTACTCATCACCAGAATATCTAACTTAGCGTTTTCTTACAAAACAAAATGAAAACAAACGTTAAAATTTGAAATCTGAAATCACGGAACGATAACAGACAATCACTGACGTATGATAGTCACGAAATAAAAGAATGGTAGAGAAACGAACGCTACCTTTGCCTCTGTTCAGGATCAAAGTTAATTTCATGGGCTATTTGGAAATAGCTTGTCACGACAACGAATCAAAGAACGTTTTACTGATCACTGATCAGTGATCATTAGTGATGGGACTACTCGAATGAAAATTATCGATTATATCGATTATGAAAATCTCTCGAGATATCTCGAGTGGTCATATAGAATCATTCGATTATTCGGATACGAATGACAGTGGCCACAGCGTTACTAATACCTGCACTACTCGAGCGAGTGCGCAGATGTTTCGATTGTTCCAACGCTCTAACGAGCTACAACATCTCGAGATAAGACGGCCGAGAGGATAGATGAGACAATCGAATATCACCGCACCGACATACAAGAAAAAAGGTATGCAGGAATTTTATGAGTGGCATCGCGGGGGGTTAGATGGGAGCTTTATTTAGCGGGGATAAAAATTCATATGAATGAAAATAATACCAAATTATGTTTTCTATATAATTTTTTTTTTCAAAAAAATCCCAAACAATGGACCTCTTTAGGCGGCGACTACTCATTTTAAACACATGCTGCTGAATCACTCAACTGGCAACGAAGAAATATGGAAGAAATGCCCCAATCCGCGACAGTCATTCATTTACCTAACGTCAACATGTTTCGCATATGATTTGGGATAGACCGGAAATTTTCAAAGTGAACTTTCGATTATTCATTCGAATGATCATTCGATTATAAAATTAATTCGAACGGTAACCTCTCGATTATTTAATTCATTCGATTATTCCCATCACTAGTGATCATCAACATTTACGTAAAGCCGTGCGAGAGTGTTGATAATGTAAACCATTGGGCTGACAAAATGTCCTCTGTTCAACACAAAAAACCCTTTTGTCCCTTTTATGTGAAAAAACTCCCTAAAAGGTGTAATGTCCTCCCATCTGGCAACACTGAACGTACCAAGGGAATTCAGCTTAACATCTAGTTATTTTCAATCTTTTAAATAATTCTACCTATGTGGCTGGCATCACTGTTTCCCAATCCCCGTGATCTGTGGACCATAACGTAATT